ATATATATATATATATATATATATATATATATATATATATATTGATTTTAATTTTATATTGCTGACCTCAACTAAAACAATTTACCCTCTAACTATTTACCCCCTACCCCACTTTCTCTTAGCAATATAAATTTTTTCGAAAGTCGAGAATTAAGATAGAAAGAATCGAATATTTTCTCTCTTTTATGTGAAAGGAGTTTAATGCTAGCTTAGAACACTTTATTTGGCTCCTTATTAGTTTCACTAATGTGTTTTTTTCTTCTACTTCGATTATCTTTACTGTGTATTACAAATATTTCTCTCATCATAGCTTTTCATTCTCATACCTTTCACTCTCATTCTGAAAATATTTTCCTTGAGCCGAAAGTCTTGTCGAAAATAACCTCTATCTTATTTTATCCAACCTAAAATAAGGATAGAAAACTCCAAGTACATGCCTAGATCGATTGTACACACCTTCTAAGAGTAGCATGTAGACAAATAAGAGTTTTATATATAATATGATAAACACTCAATTCTCATTGATACATGCATTGTTAAAACCATATAGGCGCAGGCTTGAATCCATATATAATTTAAACAAATATTATGAGAGATGCGATAATTTAGATAAATATTATGAGAGATGCGAGTGGATGACTATGAGTTGAGTATAAAGATGAAATGTGTTAAGGTGGAAAGAACACAATCATTAACGAAACTTTTTAAGGAATTTGTTCTCCTAGAGAAAATATTTTAAAAAAAAGTTGACCAACCGAACGTGAAAAAATTGAAAAATATATTTCGAAAAATGGTTTCTTTCCTACCACAATACACACAGACAAAATGGATAATTATGACTTCCATATAACTCAAATGATTTGTTGTTTAACTTGAACTTTATCACTTTTCATTTAGCTATAAGGACTTATAAAAACTAGTAATTTCAATCTAAAGATAGCTCAGGAAAAGAACTCTGCATGAATAAAAAGCATATTCCAAAAGAAGGATAAATGGTGATGTAGTCCTACTCTATGATGGCAAAGAATACAAAAAAGTTTAGCTCCATAATTCAAACAGAAAATGGAGAAGATTTCTGGGTTTCTTAATGTTACATTGTCCATCGATATCCGTTGAACTATGAAGACATGCACTGCATAACACAATCATCCATCTACAATCCAAGAACAGAAGAAACACTTACGGGAAGGCAACAGAGAGAAACAAATTACTCGTAAAACAACAGAAAATGGCAAAAAAAGGGGAGAAGCAGAAGGCATCAACATGATTCTAAACACTATGTTCAACGAAGTTTTATTGAAGGTCATAGATTGATTGTTACAAAATCTTGAAGCCGAAAAGGAAGCCAATGAGCATGTAATCACAGCCCTAAACAAGGAAAAGCCAGTCGTCAAAACTACTATATGAAAAAAAGATGTTTTAAAATAACCCGAAGTATCATGTAATAAGGTTCTTAGAGGATCATTCATGACTTAAAAGCTAAGGTTGTCGTGCAGTTTAGCATAGAAGTAGTTCCTAGCAACTGCCAGAGATATCAATAGTTGATGCATCAGAAGAATTCAACAAGCTACAGAAGAATCTAAATTCACAGAAAGGGAAAAAAATCCCAGTTTCACAAACGGGAAGAGTAGAGCGGAAATCAAATGACAGTCATAGAAGAAACCAAATATTTCTTCTTCAGAGTTCATACAGACATTCTCTTAGACTGCATGGACATAATACTTCGGTTGAACCCTCCGACATCATAAATCATCATTGCAATCTGATTGAATACGAAGTATTAGAATAACCCTAAACATTATTAAATTAGAAGAGCTGTATTGAGCAAGAAAATATTATGTGCTAAGCAGATTCAGTCCCTCAGATAATCTGATAAAGTATCTCAAGGCCTATTTAATTTTATCAGCTACGCAATCAATGACAGCCACATCACAAACTCATCAATCTAATTATCGGACAATTAGGTGCAAATAACCCCAAACACACCATCAAAAAACTCCGCACTTTTTAAGGATGTAAGCACTACTGTGTTCAATATTAAACGAAAATGCAAGTCATTAATCTTCCTATTTCAGCAGGTTGAAATTTACGTATTGAAGACAGACTTCAAATATCAGCAAAAGTTGGAATCTAATCAGTTCAATTTCATTTATCACCGAATTCAAGTTCGATCTACTAAGAGATTTATCTGGTTAAAAGGAAACTAAAGTGTAACAATTCAGTAGCTTATGAGTACTAGAAGAACACTGGGAATAACTACAAGTTAAACCTACCAATTTTTTATTCCTTTTCAATACCTTACTTCAGATTTTGTAGCATATTTAGATCTGCTCCTAGTAATAACAATGTAGAAATCCAAATTTTTAACATGTAACTTACAAAGCGTAAGATCGTACTTAAAATAACAAAGATTTAGTCTAGGAACCATATATTTTTCATCGTTTTTCATTCTTTTGTTAAATTACTCTTCATCATGTTTCATTCTTGAGGCTTCAAAACATGAAATGCCTCTAATTGTCCATAGGCTCCCATGACACACTGTTAGGGCATACAGTCTCAGAATTTTTCAGTAACGTGGCATTAGCAAATACAAGAAGACATTAGATACTTTCAAGAACAACATAGTCCCAAGTAACTGTCTGGTAGATTACTAAATAACTTGATTTTTTTACACCATACATATAGATTAAGCACTAGTATAAAAATGCTTTCAAGACATTCAAATTTATCATTGAAAAGAGCTTCCCCATTGGTAATAAACTACAAAGAATCAAAAGTTCAGAAAAAGGAAAAACATTCATGTTCTCATTCACTATCTACTTCTCATGTTCTTACACGGCATGGATATTTCACTTTGCTTGTACTCTCTGACATTCATCATGCATCATCATTGCAATCTGATTAAATGCCAAGTATTAGAATTATGCTTACATCTTCACAACTACAACTGGAAACGCAACATATGTATGCTAAAAAGTTTTACGTCCCACCATCAATCTGACTCAATTTTTTTGAGGCTTATCAATGAAATTAAATCATCAACAATCAAATACAGCAGCATCAACGATCAGACGGACACAACAAATAACATCAAATGCTCATTTCAAGTGTCAGCTTCATGACATAATTCAATGATGTTCAGAGGAGAATAATTTTTAATTCCTTAAAAATTGAAGTCAATTAATTAATAGTTTCCATTGGAGTTTATATACTAGAACCTTGACCACTATAAAGTATTCTATGTAGATCGGAAGGACAAAAAAGTATAAATGGATAAATGGAGGCAATCCTACAATATGACTGTCAACAACATTACCCAATGTAATCCCACAAGCCACAAGTGGGGTCTGGGGAGGGTGGTGCGTATTCAGACCTTAACTCTACCATTTCCAATAGACCCTCAGATCAAATAAATCATCTTAAAGCAGGTTTGAAAAGGAAATTCAATAGTAAAAGATGTACATGTATTCCTAAGAAAATCATGAATTAGAGAACATTGTCACCTTACTCAAGTTTGAAGCATCATGATTTATCAGCATTACTCATACGATTTGGAAGTTGAAGGTATATTACTATTTACTATAATACTCAATATCACATCAACAAGTTTAGCTATGTATGTGAATACTCATGTGTTAGTTAAGCCGTACATTTGACAATGGGAGACTAGTTAAAGAAAGGTGGTAATAAACAATTAATCCTTTCCACATATGCTAACGCTTCTTCCTTTGCCAAAAGCAATAAAAAAAATTTGAATATCAATTGTTTTAGTTAGTTACACCATAGGGGGAAGGTTACTCCCCAGACCTAAGAAAGAAACTGTTATCAGTTACTTAAATTGACATAGTAAAGATATTTGTATAACTTGAACTCCATTTCATGATCTTCATCTAGTTTTTTCTTGTACTACAATTCATTCTTTAGTTATATCATAGGGTGAAGGTTCCTCACCAGACCTAAGAAAGAAACTGTTATCAGTTACTTAAATTGACATAAATTGACAGACTATAAATATGTGTATAACTTGAACTCCATTTCATGATCTTCATCTAGTCTTCTCGTCCTACAATATTCAAGAATTACTTTTTACTGCAGAAAGAGGAAGTACAGATAGAAGAAACTAGGTTATGACTGGAGCATGTAAAATTGTAACATAAATGATACCTAGAGAATTGAGTTCATTAACACAAAATTTAATGAATTGTACTGTCAACACTCAACACATGTCTATGTTACTACTATATTTTTTCTTCCTCAACCTTGTTCTCCTTCATATACTTACTTTTCCCCTTTCCAGGAGTTCACACAGAGGTCAACAACCTAAAAGCTCATCGTAATGCTGCAACAGACTTCACCCCTCCAACATGGTCAGAGCTTGACCAAGAAACATTACCTACAACTATTGGGGGATCTGCCAACGGCACACTGGAAATGCCTTATGTATGGCAATCAAACTAGACTAAAAGCTTGTTTCACTGTGTGCTTATGCTTGCAGCAAAGATTGTTATCTACCGATAGACTCATTCGATGGGGAGTTGAGGTTAATCCAACTTGTGTCCTACAAGGGCCTGAATCTCATGAACACTTGTTTGTTCACTGTCCAGTTGCTCAATCTCTAAGGTCCAGACTACTAAGGTGGATCCACAGACTAGATTGTCTTGCTACAAACCAAGATGACTTTGTGTAGTGGAATGTCAAGCATGCTAAAGGTAAATCTCATCCATCTCAACTCTTCAAAATGGTGCTTCCTAATGTACTTATGCCCTATGAATTTGAGAACAAGAGGAAAATGCTGGATAGTATGGCCAAGGATCCGGCATATATGTGCACTGTTCGCGCCCCAACTGGATTACAAGCCTTTGTACATATCTTACAGTTTTGAATTGCATTGTGCTTGATCTTGTGAAGTCCTTTTAGTACTTTTTATTACCTTAGAACTGTATTGACTTTGCTGAATTTGTAATGACTATTACTCGTGATTATTAAAGTTGTTAATTACCAAAAACAAAATGAAGTTCAAAGCTCATACTAACTATGATTAATGACTATCTCAACTCTCAAGCAATAACTTAATGCAATTACCAGTTGATTTAAAGGCCAAAATATCAAAACTAATGAAGATCCAATACGAGAAAACATAATTTCATTCATAAATAACCAAACAAAACCATACAGCTCAAACAACTCGATACATATATACAAGTGATTGATCCACGATTCACACATAAAATTCACAATCAACAAATCAATGGATCCACATATAGAAAGTTCAACATCCAATAATTATACCTTCAAGAGTCCAACCATAGCTCCGAGGAGTAGCAGATAACATTGAAGTGAGTAATGCTGATGCAGTCGCAGTATGAAATGGAAACATCGATTCCACTCTAACACAACTCATTTCTACCGGCGACCTTCAAAAGTACAAAATAATCAAATCTATCAATCATAATTTCATACAATAAACTAAAATTTTACCGAGACTTTTTTTTTTAATTAGTGAGACCTGAAAATGCGAGCGGTGACTGGTTTTTGAGTTGGTATGCGGAATGGAGATGTCTTTGGCTTGGCGCCGGAAGCAATTCTTGTGGTTGCTGCTGATCGGCCGGAGGTGGCGGCGGAGCGGAGGAAGGACCTGGCGGCGAAAGTGGCCATAATTGTAAAAGGGAAATGAGAAGAGCGAAGAGGGCTTTGTTGGGGTTTTAGGTTCAGAAATAGGGGTTACTATCTTCTTATTTTTCCTATTTTTTTCAACTAGTAAAATAACTCGCGCCTCGCAATAAATTAATATCACAAAATTTATAAAAATAATAAAATTAAAATATTATATTATGTGACATACAAGATTATGTAGTACCATTAATTATGTAAAAGAAAATGATAATTATAATATTTTATCATTTATCCTTCAATCAATCATCTTAAATTTGATTTTATAATTTATTTTTTTTTCAAATTGATAATTCTGAAGAAATCAAATGAACATCAATCGAAGATATTAAACTTTCTAATAAATAAATAATTATTGGTAAAGAGATAAATAAATTTTAAAAGACTAAAAAAAATGAACAAATTTTCTAATTCTAACGTGTAAAAAGTTCCATCATACGTTTGTTTTACATCTATAATTTTAAAGTTCCTCATTTAAATGAATCATAATTAATTATTAAAATGAAAAATTAATGGGAGAAAAAATCATATAGGACAATAATTCAACTTTTTATATACACTTGAGTAAGAAAAATATTACATAAAACTATTAAGTTTATTTTGATGTTCTTTAAAAATTAACATACCAGAGTGATGAAGTTTATTTTGAAATTACAATTTCAGTAGAAAAAATTTGTGTGAATACTCAACTAACGTGTGTTATTTAATCTATATTAACAAATACTTATAACAATAACTTTTCAGAAACATAAACAACGAAATATAAAAAAAAAAACATACCAGGATCTGTAACAGTAGAATGAAACAGAAAGGAAAAAATTTAGTCTATTGAATGCGCAATGTCCCCTTAAAAAAATTATTCTCCTTTAGTACCCGAGGTTTAAAGGAATAAATCCTCTTTTGGATAAAAAAATTCAATTCAGCAGTGTATTGATACAAAAATGATACTTCCTCCGTCCTATTTTATGTGACGACGTTTGATCGGGCAAGGAGTTTAAGAAATAATGAATATTTTGAAATGTTTACAATATCACCCTTCAGAAAAGTAAATTCATTTTTTCTCTCTCCTCATAAATGTAGAATATTATCTTTAAAATTAATTATGACCAACAAAGGAAACAAAAAGAATTGTACCTTTAAATACTTATCATATAAGGAAATGTGACATTCTTTTTAGGAATGACCAAAAAAAAAATAGTGTCACATAAATGGGTCGGAGGAAGTATTTAAATGTGCAGAAAAAAAGTTGTTTATAATTTACGTTGTTTTAAAATGAGATGAAATCCCTTTACTCATAGAACAAAAAAGAATGGTGTGAAGAAATTGTTCTCTATTGGAAATGTCACAACTCTTTGAAAAAGATACAAACCTTCAGAAAAGGCACAACCATTCGTAAAAGTTACAACTCTTATGAAATGCCACAACCTTTCATAAAAGTCGCAACTCTTCATGAAAGTCACAATTTTTCATGAAAGGGGAAAACTCGTTTTGAAAATAAATAAATTTAAATAGAAATTCTAACTTGTGGGGGCGCCACATAGGCGGATCTAGAATTCTCTTTTATATAAATATATGATTAATGATAATTACATCAAATAACCCTATATTTTGTTTGGTTCAATTTATAAATTTTTTATTTTTAAATATGTTAGATCAATAATCAAAATAATAAGATATTCTTTTAATCAATTTTTGATTTATCAATTTTGATCTTTAACGGTTCAATTTTCAATTTTAACCAATAAGAAAATACTTATAAACATATATATGGCTTCTCTAATAAATTTGACGCAACAACACAATAATGTAATTTTACAAATGAACATGAAATAGAAACAATAGTAACAAACATTAAAAGAATTATGCAAGTATAACACAAAGAGAAATTAAGAGAAATATGATTCTCACTTTAGATTTTGACGTTTTGTACGAAGTTGTGAACTCAAATTCTGTGTGAAGAATAAATTGAAGGCTAGAAAGCAAAGACTATAACTAGTAATGTATTGAATTAATATGTAGTATTTACTAATAAAATAGTAAACTACTAGTCTTAATGAGTTATCAGTTTAACTAATTACACAAAACTCCAAATCAATACTAAACCAATAATTTAATGTCTTTTTATAAATCACTAAAAAGCTGTTAAGCCAATAACAATGAACCAATAATACTTTTTTTTTATTCAGTTTATCGATAGATTGGGTTCGCATACCCCTACCATACCATAACATATGACACAATTTTGAATATATTCTTTATATTTTAAATTATTAAAAATGTTTTTTTATTTTCAATTTTACATATAATATATTTAAAGACACTAAATTAATGATTATTTTGGTACAAACAAAATGATTAAGTTATAACAAATTGATGTATAAAAAGTGTAGCATCAAGCGCCTGTAGCTCAGTGGATAGAGCGTCTGTTTCCTAAGCAGAAAGTCGTAGGTTCGACCCCTACCTGGCGCGTTTATTTTAATATATTTTATAGTTTTTAATATATTTGACCAATATTTGTAAATAATAATATAATATATGTACCTATGTGAAAAATACGAAGTATTTAAAAATATATTTAAATATAGAAATTTAGATCTTTTATCTATCTTGTTTAGTTTTTTTTTTTTTAATATCTTGTAACTAGTTTGAATAGATAAAGGACCTATAATTTTTTTTAATGATTTTCAGTAAAAGTATCTAAACGATCAAATTTATATCTTATATCCACTTTTTCGTAGTAGTGCACCCATCATTTATAAATCCTGAATACGTCTCTGCTTTCGGTAGCGTTAGCTGTTATGAGGATGGCCAAGTAGGAGTCAGGTAAAAGATAAGGTGTGTCGAAGGTTGGTGGATGACATATTCAATATGAAGCGTCACTTAACTAGTTTTCTCCGGTTAGAGTATAGAAGTCATTTTTCTAATTCTTAAACAACTTAATTTTCTAGATAATTTGTTCTTCAAACTTTTGACAAATCATATGAGCAAATCAAAAAATATTTTTCTTCGTACCAATACATTTTTAATATTGAACTTATTAAAAATTTAAAATTAAAAATTGATATATTAAAATTTTACATACAAGACTTATATTCTACATTAGCAATATTGAATTAAAATAAATTCAATTATATACGATAGTCATATCCACCTCTTACAACAATCTAGCTCCGCCCCTGATTAAAAAAACCCATAAATGGCCAAAGTTATTTATAGTCACAAAAAAAGAAACACAGGCCATAATGTAAAGTAATGTATTATAGCCTTTTTAGACAAATGATTAATAATGTTTCATGACATAAATAAACAACAGACAAAAAAAAATAATCCTAGCTACTAACTTAATTATTTCAATTCTCTTTTTTAATGGTGAATTTGATCTATTAATCAAACAAGTTAAAACATTTATTCAAGTGAGAAAAGAATAAATATGCTGCAGCCTGCATTTGTTTGGATGAAAAAAATTGAAACACAAATCATTAATTAATGTCCTTTATTTTATGACATTAATTTACAAAATCCTATCCAATGGAATAATGAGGTTTGGAGCTATAACTATTTTTTTTAGTAGTTTAAGTTTTACTCACTTATATACCCGCTCTTTCGAATTCAAAAAAAAGAGGGACAAAGCGCCTGTTTAAAGTGGCGAAGGCCTATGCTGCAGTAAGCAAAAAAGTAGGTTGAGATTACGATATAATCAATAAAGAAATATTTATATATTGTGCAAAAATATCATTTAATTATGAATATTATTCCTTAAACAAAATAAAATAAAACTACAATTAAAAAAAATTATTAAATCGTTCACTTTCGACCTAGCTAATGTTCACTAATTTTTTTTCTTTCTATATACACAATATCTTCATATATATATATATATATATATATATATATATATGTATGTATAAAATTCAAAATCTAGTCGAAGATTCATACTTTAAAACAGCTGTTAAATGTTGCATACTTTTAATTTGTTTGATTAACATAATCACAAACTAATCATTCAAAGAGCAATTTTATAGTAAAATGGAGTGGTTTTCTTCCTTTTGGTATAGAAAGAAGAGAAAGCTAAGCAAGATGGGGTTATACATACAATATAATATACATAAAAGAAATATTTGTATAAAAGATTATGACAATAAGATATCAAAATATTTTTTCATTCTTAATCTAAAGATTGAGGAAAAAAAAAAACAGCTTAAAACGAATTTATAGGAGCGAGCTCCAAAAACACTATTCTATTTTTATATCTCGAATGTGTGGCCTTCAAATTTTTGGGGCCTAAGTAAACAACATTAATTAGAGGCTTAGTCTTCTCGCCCGCTTTGTGATTCGAAGAAAATTTTTCCAACGCGAATCTGAATTGATCGAATTAGTAAGTAAACAACTTACTAATTTTCTATCTTAATTCTCGAAACAATTTAGTCAAATAAATATAATTTGGTCTTTTTTCGTAAATGTAAAACAAGAAGACAAAGAAAGAGGAATATAATGATAATATCTCCTTTTTACCCCAACAATTTCTTGTTGGAAAATGAATATGTTGTGCATGGTAAAAAAACAATGTTTTAGAAGTTGAAGCTACCAAGATAACTTGAAAAACACACCATTGCATGAAGAAATATTTGCTGGTCTGCTTTGATTTTTTGATTTTTTTTTATAAAAACGATAAAATTGTCCTTGCATAATTTGTAGGCTATGGTTTGAATCGTAAATATCGATATCATTACTTGGTGGATTATCTGCATCGCACTTAAATTATCAACCTCTTTGAAATATGATCAACAATTTTTCTCTTAATCCTTGCATAAACACGAAATGTTTTTATTCACTAAATTATAAATTTTTTCTTCTAAAAAAATGTCCTTAAAATAGACGAAAATAACTTTCTATAAGAAACAAAGAAATATAAGTTCCACAAATTATATTTCTTACTCACCCTTCAACATATTCCTCCGTTACCTTACCTTACAACTCTCCGTTTTTATCTATAATCTAGATAATATATATACATATATATTTTTTTTACTTAGCACCAAACACAAAAAAAAAAATATAA